ATGTTTTTGACACAGGGTCTCACTATGTAGCCCAGGTTAGCCTCAAACTTGCAGTAGTCCTCCTGCCTCGGCCTCCCAAGTGCTGAGATTACAGGTATATGCCACCATGGCCAGCAAAAAAGTTCTTCTGTCTCCATTTTGTTTACTTCTAGTGTCTTACAGGTTCTAGATTGTTTGTGTTTTGAGACAGGGTCTTGCTATGTAGTTCAGGCTGGCCTTGAACACATGGTGAGCCTCCTGCCTCAGCCTTGAGTGCTGGGATTTCAGGCATGTGCCATCATGTACAACTTGTATCACTGTCTTAAGTGTCTTCTAAATACCCTATAATCACAAGATTTAAACAATACCTAATCTGAGCATTATCCTTTTACTTTTTATTGTTCAGCATATGGATATATATTTTTATTACTATATATCTACAGTACATAATGATTACATTCATTCTAGGGAGTTTGTACATGTACATAACACATCTTAATTCTTTTTACGTTCTTGTCCCCTCCCTCCATTTCTTGATCTCCTTTCCATGTGCAAAAGATCTATCTCCCTATTTCCTATTATCTTTTATCTTTGAGCATTAATTTAAATAAGCAAATTTAACCTGGTCACATTCATGGTGACTCTTGTATGTTTGGACTTACTCTTACCATCTTACATTTTCTATTTCCCAATATTTATTCTTCCCTCCGAATCTTCTGCATTTTTTTTAGTGAAAAACAAATCAGGACCGGGGATTTAGCTCAGCAGTTCCACCATCTGCCTTGCAAGCCCAAGGACCCGAGTTCGATCCCCGGTACCAAAAATAAAAAAATAAAAAAAACAAAAACAAATCACACAATGAAATATAAAGATCTCCACTGATGCACTTTAATACATTTTGACAAATTCTGCTTTTAAAAAAATTGAGGTACCCATTTCCATTTTTCTTGGTTTAGGGTTATCAGTTAGGTTAGGCACATATATATTATATATATATGAAAACAAAACCCAGGTAACCATTTCCAGTGTGCAGGCAAACATGATCTCTCAATTTTAAAGCTTGTATTACCTGACAGTTCTCCCACAGGAGAGACTGTCCTATATAATTATATATTTTTGAGGTTTTGAAATTTAAAGCAGAAATCACACTCTGTTTACAATTTGCTTCTTCCTCTTGATGGGTTATTTCTATTTAATGTAGTTCAATCTCACTGATTGACTGTTTGATAGCAGTACTGGGGATTGAACTTAAGGCCTCATACATGCCAGGGAACTGCTCTATTCTATCCCTTAAAAGAACTTTTTTTTCTTGAACTTATGATACTCCTGCCTCAGCCTCCTGAATACCTAGGAATAAAGGTGTGTACAACTACATCTGGCTTCTACTTCATTTATTATCAGTGTTATTTGTGGTAAAATACACATAGAATTTCCATCTTACCCATTTTAAAGCATACAGTTCATCATATAAGCGCATTCATATTTACTGTGCAATCAGTTCTTCAGAACTCTTGTAAAACTGAAACCCACGTTCTTATACACTTCCAATTATCCCTACTTCCAGCCCCTGGAGACCACATTTCTACTTTGTTAATACTGTGCATTTGATCACTCTAGACGCCTTTTTTTTTTCAAGACTGGATCTTACTATGTAGTTCAGGTTAGCCTTGGACTCACTATGTAGCCCAGGCTGGCCACAAACTCATGGTGATCCTCCTGCCTCATTACAGACACGCACCACCATGCCTGGACTTGAGATGTCTCTTATAAGTGAAACCATACATTAATCCCCTTGTGTTTGAGGCCAGCCTGGGCTACACAGTGAGTTTAAGAACAGTCTAAACTGGACAGTTATACCCTGTCTCAAACAAAAAAGTTTCATTAACTTTTAATTGATTACATGAAAAAATTAGATTAAGATCTACTGGGCCAGGGATTTAGTTCAGTGGTTCCAGTGCCTGCCTCACAAACCAAAGGACCCAAGTTTGAACCCCAGTACCAAAAAAAAAAAAAAAAAGATCTATTAATTTCACCTGTTTCTCTTTACTTTTTAAACTGTAGTCACTAGAAAGAAAATTTTGTTTTCTTTTGTTTGGTTTTTGAGAAAGGATCTTGCTATGTAGTTTAGGCTAGCTTTGAACTCACTTGTACCCAGGCTGGTCTTGAACTCATGGTGATCCTCCTGCCTCAGCCTCTTCAGTGCTGGTATTACAGGTGTGTGCCATCATGCTTGGCTGAAATTTTTTAATTAAATGTGGTTCTCTGAGATAGTGCTAAGACCCTGGTATGAACTAGAAAAACTGAGAATAAAGAAAGTATAGTCTCTCGCATCAAAGAGCTCACAACCTAGTAGGAGAGGATAAGAACTTAGGACAATAGTTACAATATAATGGCATTAAGCCCGTTGATAAAAATATATATTGAGGTTACAGACTGAGGAGAGCCATTTGTGGACTCAGAAAGGTGAAGAGAGCTATTAGGTTAGCCTACTAATAGATATATCTTAAAGTTCCTGCTTTTGCTGGTTACGGTGGCACATGGCTATAATCTTATCTTTTGGGAGGCTGAGGCAAGGGGATCCTAAACTCGAGTCCAGGCTGGCAAGTTCTAGGCTAGCATGGCCTATGTAGTGAGATCTTGTCTCAAAAAAAAAAAAAAATTAAATCCTGCCTTTCATTCTTTTGTATACCCACAAGTATAACTGCTAGAGCATATAATGATCTCATTTTTGAGGAACTGGCATAGGGGTTCAAATTTGTACAAATCCTTGTCTTTTTTTAATGCAGCCATCTTCAGGGGTGCGAGATGGTATTTCATTGTGATCTCTCTCCCCTTTTTTCTTTTTTGGTACCAGGGATCAAACTTTGCACTTGCAAGGCAGGCAGTGGAACCACTGAGCTAAATCCCTAGCCTTCTCCCTTCTTTCTTGAGACAGGGTCTTGCTCTGTAGTGCAGGCTGGCCTCAAACTCTTGAAAATCCTCTCAGCTTCCTTTAGCCTCCAGAAGAGGGTTGGTCATTGTGAGTTTGGTTTGCATTTTCCTAATGATTAGTGATGGTTAGCATCTATTCATCTGCCTTTTGGCCATTTGAATATTTTCTTTGAGAAATGTCTGTTTAAGTTCTTTGCCCCTTTTTAAATGTATTTCATTCTTTTTAAGTGCTTACAATATGTCATAGTTAAATCATTTTTGATGGATATTTAGGTTGTTTTTAAGTTTTCTCTATTATAAATAGCTGTGAAATAAACATTTTCATATAATACTTCTTGTAACATGTGACTTTTTTGGGGGGGTACGGGGGATCTAACTTGGGACCTTGCACTTGCGAGGCAGGCAGTGGCACCGAGCTAAATCCCTGGCCCCCATGACTATTTCTTTACACACATAATATCACATTACCCGTGCTAAGATCTTTTCTTTTCTTTTGGTACTGGGGATAGAAATCAGGACCTTGCACTTGTAAGGTAGGCAGTGGCACTACTGAGCTAAATCCCCAGCCCCATGCAAAGATATTTTAAAGTAAATCACCTATATGATACTTTTTTGTTGTTGTTGTTGAGAGAGGGTCTCACTATGTAGCCCAGGCTGGTCTCGAAGTCACAGCAATCCTCCTGCCTCAGCCTCCCCGAGTGCTGTGATTATAGGCATGCGCCACCATGCCCAGCTTCCTATATGATACTTTTAAGTAACCAAAAAATAGAATTGTGGTCACAGGATAGCAGTAGTTTTTAATTTAATGGGTCTTGTCAAACAGCAGTCTAAAATGGCTATGACTGCTTGAACTTGTTGTCAACATGAGTACCTATAGAGAATGGAAGGAAAAAATGGAAACAAAGCTTAGAGTGAAAGAAGGATTGATGGGAGGAGAAGGGAATGAGGAAAGAAAAGAATTAAGATATTTATATAAGGAACAAATTCCCTATGATGAATATGATCAATATATATGACAAATACGTATTAATGAAGAAATAAAGTTAATTTTTTAAAAAACCTATGAGTAACCATTTCCCTACACCCTCGAATAAGTATGACAGAAAACCTTCTCATCATTGCTTGTCATGTGAAGAAGCAAAGTGACTTACACAGAAATCTATAATTTTAATACATTCAAACTTATCAATCTTTTTATAGTGTTTAGATTCTGCCTGTTATTTTAGAATTCTCAGGATCAAGTCCAAATCCTTTGAGATGCCATATAAGGCCCTCTCAGATGAGGGAATATGCCTTATCTCCCAATGAATTCTCCTATGTTTTACTCATAAAAATGTCCTGGCAGTCATCTGAACAGGGCAAGTACAGTCACAGCAGTCACACCACGTGACCATACACCTCCAGGCAAACAAAAACGCTGGAGTACTCATGTCCCCCTTCTCTACAGTAATAGAGCATCCACGTTTCTAGCTGGGTCCTTGGACCGGAAACTTTCCCAACGTCACTTGCAGCTAGAACTTGTAGCCAATGGGTAACAGTGAAATGATTCACATATCCTTCTGGGTTATTCCTATAAAGGGAAAGCCACATTCTCTTTGTTCTTTTGAGACAGGGTCTATGTAATCCGGGCTGTCCTTGAACTCACTCTGTAGCCCAGTCTGACCTAGATCTTGTGATTATCCCCCCAAGTGCTAGCATTACAGTAAGCACCATCACATCCAATTTATTTTATGGTATTTATTCATTAATATGTTTTTCTCTTCTATATAAGTGTATTGAGGACAGGAACATATCTTAATAAGTACCCACCATAAACTTAATAAATGTTTGTTGAGTAGATCAAATTATGTAAACTGCCAATGGAGCACCTGATTTATAAAAAGATGCAACAAATTTTAAAGTAAACACAGGCTGGGGATTTAGCTCAGTGGTGCCGCTGCCTACCTCACAAATGCAAGGTCCTGAGTTCAATCTCTGGTACAAAAAAACAAAACAAAACAAAACAAAAAGGACACAAATTGTCATTTTCAAAAAGCATCAAAAAGTAAATGTAAGGGTCGGGGATTTAGCTCAGCGGTTTGGTGGCCTGCCTTGCAAGCGCAAGGACCTGACTTCAATCCCCAGTACCACCCCCTGCCAAAAAAGTAAATGTATTTAACCATACTTGGCTGATAATAGAGCAAATAAGTGAATAATAATTCAAGCTGTAGCATGTTCAGTGAACTGAAAACAGAAAGTTGGTCCAGGGAAGGCAGAGGAACTTTTGTCTTGTAAGAATTAGAACCGAGGGGCTCCATAATCATCTGGCATCCGCTCAATGTTGTATCTGATCAGGACAGAAAATTAACACTGGTAAGAAAGGTGAGTACAGAACCTATCTAAAAACTCATCCTGCAACTTTCTCATCCCAACTGTGAATCATTTTTGTCAGGGGGAGTAATTGTAATGGAATTTCACAATGAATGACTTTCAGCTAACTGATGATTAGATTATTATAATGTCACAAAGTTATTAAGTAGGGGAGTCATGATCTGAGTCCAAGGAAATCCAACTATTTAGCCCTTCATCTCACCACACAGTACTACCCCCAGCTGCAAAGCTGGACAATAGTAATCTGAGGAATGATGTGGAAACATCCAGGAATGCTGCAGAACAGCTTTTGGGGTTTTAAAAATAAGCTTTTTGTTTCCCAGATGAGGTAGTAATCAAAGATTAGATATTGTTAGAAATTATCTTTTAAAAAAGATATCCTTCCAAAAAGATAAGCTTTATTTAAAATGCTTTGTTCTGAAAGCAATACATCTGTTTGTTCTAGTATTCTTACTGTAACAATGTGAATGACTGCTTCATTCTTAAATCCTGTCTTTCCTTCTGCCTTTGTTCTTACTACTTTATCTTATTCTTTCAAATATAATCATATAAATATTTGATATAGCAATTTCCTTGAAATTCTTCTATAACCTTATAACTGGCCTCATTTTTAACTGCTACCAACTGTATACTTCTAATCCTTTCCCAAGAGCAATTTCTCACCTGTGGTTAGAAATGTACATGATAGGAACTCCAGGGATCTTCCGGATTCTCCGTTTAAGGTCCCGGTCAACTGTGGCCACAATGTAACACTTGTGCTGAAAGAATCACCCACTGATGTTCACAGAATTCGGTATACTTAATACTATTAGAAAATACCACAATCACTGACCAGCCTGAAGAATCATTCACTTTCTAAGTAATTAGCAAAAGGAAGGCTGTAACAATTTGTTGAGCACCTATAATCTAGGAGCTCATTTAGTAACAACTGTTTTCCCATTAAGTTTATTGGTACATTTAAAGCAAACAATACAGTTACATTTATCATTGGGCTCTTGTACCTTTTACCTGATGTGTCTTGGTTCTTGTTTTTCCCCCGTACCTCTCCCCTCCCTTCACACCCTTCACCCTTCTCTATTTACCAAGACTTTGTTTTCCATTTTTCCACATTTTTTATTTTCCCTTATTTCCTTGCCCTTTCCCACTTCCTCTTTAGCCATTTTTTTTTCCTATTTCACACTAGGAGTTCATATTTATAAAATATATAACAAGCTGTCTGGAATTTCGAGAATATCCCCACCCTCAATGAGGACTGAGCCAGGGGCCTTTGGACTGAAGTACACTGCAGCATTTTTCAGTAGACAGGGTCTTAGCAAATCACTAAATTGCCCAGGCTGGGCTTGAATTTGTGATCCTCCTGCCTACTCTCTCAGACTGCTGGGATTATAAGTGCTCTGTACCACCAGTGCATTACCAGCAGCTCTAAAAATCCTGAGGGGAGAGGTAAACAAAATAAAAAAAGAATAAATGTTTACAAGTTGTAAACCATTTTCCAACTCTTCAGTGAAAGGGACACTCACAGTTAAGACAGATAATTCTTAGTTTTTGGAAAACACCCCAGGGACTTCATGAAGAATGAGTGATTCAGATGGGAGGCACAGATCTCTCTTCCCTGATCTCAGGGCTTAGGAACGTTCTGAGCCCTCTTAGTGGCAGAGGTTAGCTACTCCTTCGGACAGGAACCCAGACAGGGATCTCTAGGACGGGAAGTTCTAAAGCTGTGTCATTTAGATGTCAGCTGGGAGTTAGTTTGTGTTGTACTTTACTTCTGTCACATCCAAATCTCCACTGAGTTTTATAAAACTCATGTTGCATCATGGTTATCATACACGCTGCGGAAAATTAAGGGAAATGCTGGCTCCTCCTACAGGATGAAGTAGGTAAAGGGATAGAGTGGTCAGCAGACAAAGATGATCGTCTTCAATAAGACAGGGCCCTCCTGACCAGTGACAGAGATCAAACCCAGGGCCTGGCACATGCCAGGTAGTTGCTCTACTAATGAACTACATTCCCAGCCCCAGACAGGTTCTTATAGGGTGGGCATGGTGGCACACACCTGTAATTCCCACTACTTGGGAGGCTGAGGGAGGAGGATCACAAGTTTGAAGCCAGTCTGAGTGAGATCCTGTCTCTGAGTAACATTAATGAAAAAAATGGTTAAGGATGTACCTTGGCACTTCTGGGTTCAAATCTCCAGCACTCCTTCCACACACATAAACATGCACACCCACACGTACAAACACAAGAACAATCAGTAGTAGCAGTTCTTATGTTTGATAAAGACTCCAGAATAGAAGAATTCAAAGCCTATTTATTCCAGAATATGTGAGATAGCACTCTGGAAGCTCCCTAGACGTTACTGAGAAACATTTCTGGGTTAGGCGTGGTGGAGAAGAATAAAATTTTGCATAGTGAGGAGATGGGACCTTATTTAAGATTCACAGGGAGGTGGAATCTGATATATTACTATAACTACATTAACTCACCTAAACCATTTAACAGAGATTTATGTAATGAAAAATCAGTAACAGTTCCAAATTACATACCTAGTCTATGCAGGTGCTGAGATCTGAAACCATGTTTTCTCCCCAATTTCAATCCACTTTTTCAAGTAAATGAGGATGCTTATGCTTTCTATGAAGGAATACTAAATGTGTGTGTGTGTGTGTGTGTATCTATCTATCTATATATATATATATATGATCATTTATATTCCTAGATACTTTACTGACCATTTACTGAACATTCAGGAGATAAGATCCCTTTTTTTCTTTTAAAGCTCAAAATAAACACTGAAAAACTGACCATACCTGAGTTACTCTTTGCACTAAGCAGTCATCTGCATAGGTTCCTTTATGTGTGCAAGGTAATCGTTCAAATCGTGGATCCTTAGCAATCCTGGAAAGTTATAAAGTTCAATTAAAGAAAACAGTCAAGCAATTGGATAACTTCCCATTCCTCAATCAGTGAAACAAAAGTAACATGATTTATGTGGATTTTTCAAGCACCCTCTCCTCTGAAAGCTTATCCCCTAACTAGAATGACAACTTACAGGAAAAGGAGTCAAAGCTTCTGACAGCTGGTGTGCCTGAGATCATTTAATCATCACAAAACTGAATTACTTCATTTCCATCTTACAGATGAGGAAGCAGGTTCAGAAAGGTTAAATTAATTTGTGGAAACCAATACAGTAGGGAAATGCCAGGATTCAGAGCCTTTTTTTTTTTTTTTTTTTTGGTACCGGTGATTGAACTCAAGAGCTTGCATTTGCAGGGCAGGTGGCAGAACCACTGAGCTAAATTCCTGGCCCAAAACCAAGTCAATTTTAACACAAACATTTCACTTTTAGGAAGCTGTATTAATAAATGTTCTAGAAGATAGGCACAAAGATGGTTACTGTAATAGTTTATAAGTGCAAAAAACCAAAAATAATCTAAATATCCACTAACAAGGTAAAAGTTAAATATATTTTGGTGCCCCTATCTTATTTAAAAAGTGAGATAACATCGTAGGTACGAAGACCTGTAGTAGGGCCAGGGAGGTAGCTTAGTGGCACAGTGCCTGACTGGCTAGCACAAGGTCCTAAGATCAATCCTCGGTACCAAAACAACAAGAACAACAACAAAAATTAAGAACCTAAACTAAACCGTTGAATAAACAAAACAGCCTAATGAAATATATATATATTTCTTGCCACTTTCTGAAGCATTTCTGGAAGTCCTTCTTCATGAGTGTCTTTAGTTGTGCTCCAGGTCCTGTGTGGATCCAAATGTTTACCTTTTGTGGTCATTCTGACTTTGGGGAAGAGCCAAAAGTCACATGGTGCTAGATTGGGTAAATAATGTAGATGACGACATTCCTTATTGTTATTAAGAGGCTGCCTTTCCACTGGATGGGGCTTGGCAGGAGCATTCACCATAATTTTGATCACACCTCGAAAAGACACTTAAAAATGACTTCCAGAACTGCTTCAGAAAATGTGAGAAAGATGGGAGTAAAGTGTTCAAACTGAAGGGGGGTAAATGCTATTTTTTACTCTAATTTCTCCAATACTCTTCTTTTTTTATATATATATATATTCACTAACCCTTCTCAGTCATCACTCTTGGGGGACAGGAGAATGAAAAAAGTGAACATGGAGAAGGAGTTTTTTACCTTTTTATTATTTGTATATTCTATAGTTTGCCATAATTCAAAGGTATCATTTTCATATAAATTTAAAAAAAGAGGACCAGGGATTTAGCTCAATGGTTCTGCCACATGCTTCACAAGCACAAAGTCCCAAGTTTGATCCCCAGTACCACAAAAAAGAAAGACAGACAGACAGACAGACCCACCCACCCCAAGTCTGATTCCTAAAGCTGTGTGCTTTCTATTATGCAATGGTGAGTGATAGAATTGAACAAAAATACAAAGTAGCACACAAGTACTGGGTGCTTCAAAATGTTCCATATTGCAGTGTAGTTCATTACTTCAATGTGGGGAGCGTATTTAAAAAAAAGAGATACAATGAAGATGAAAGAATGCACCAAGCAAAGTGAGGACAGATATGTTCAAAATGGAGGAACCACCATCTACCAGATGTCTTGCTGGCATTGCAGGAACAACGAGCACATCAGGCAGGAAAAAGTTAGGAGGAAGGTGAAATAGGGCTAGAAAAAGTTGTTGACGCTGGTATAGGGGCTTCATTTCAGAGGTGAGAGCCAGTTGAGAAAGATTTCTGAGGGACACAGTGTCAGAAGCCCAGCTCTGTCCTGGGATGACTAGGCAGGCTGGTTGAGGAGGACGCAATAGAAGGCTGGTAGCTGGGAAACGAAGTATGCTAAGCCTCAGCTTTCAGTGAACTTCCTTTCTGGAATCATATCTCCTCTCTACAGGCTCTTTCCTAGAAACAGAACAACATACTGTTGGTCCTTTCCATTTTATTTATTTATTTATTTTTGGTACCGGGGATTGAACTCGGGTCTTTGCGCTTGCAAGGCAGGCCAGTGAACGGCTGAGCTAAATCCCCGGCCGTCCTTTCCATCTTAGAAAAAAAAAAGCAAAAATACAATTTACTTTTAATCCCCTCTGGCCAACACCCTATTTGTTTTGTTTCTCTTCATAACCAAACCTGATGTCTTGTCTCCTTTCTAATCTTTTTTGGTACCGGGGATTGAACTGGGGTCCTTGTGCTTGTGAGGCAGGTGGCGGAACCACTGAGCTAAATGCCCAGTTCTCCCTTCCAATCTTTATTTTTATTATTTAAAAAATAATTGCCTCTTCCCTCCTTGTAATTTGAAGTCTTTCAAGACAAAAAAGGATAAAGCATCATTGAACTAATTATATCCACTATTACTAAATGTTGCATTGAAGAAATGAAGCATTACAACTTAAAAGGAAGCCCCCTCTTCAGCCCTAATCTATCTGTCCCCTCCATAAATAACTACTATCTCCAATTTGGTATTTATCATTCCCATATACACATTTTACTATACACAGGTAGTGTATATTACTCGCATATTACTATATACATACATGTACACCTATGAACAACTGTAGTATTGATTTGCATTTTTACTTATTTTATTTTTTGAGACAGGGTCTTGGTATATATTCCAGACTGGCCTCGAACTCCTGGTGACTCTCCTGCCTCAGCCTCCCAAGTGCTGGAATTACAGGCATGTGCCACCATACCTGGCTGTACGTTTCTAAGCTTTAGATAAGTAGTATGCTCTATGTATGCTCTTGTTTGGTTTACATTGTTTTTGGTATTTATCTACATTGTCACGTAATTCTAGTCCACTCATTTTCATTCCTATACAGTATTTTATTCAACAACATTCTTTATCTCTCCCACCATTCCACCCTGCACTAGTTTTGCCCTGAGCTACCCCTCCACTCCTTTTTTATTTTTTATTTTGAGATAGGGTCTTGCTAAATTGGCCAGTCTGGGTTCAGATTTGTGATCCTCCTGCCTCAGCTTCTCAGTATTTTCTTCTTAATGGACTTCTGGCTGCCTGCAGTTTTTTTCTCTTATATGAAAAACTTCAGTACTTGTCTTTAATATATGTATATGGGTTTCACTATGGCTGTGCCTTTCTATTTTACCAGGACCCACAGTATGAAATGCAGTTCACTCACACACAGTTTCCTCAGACATACATACTTATAAGAGTAGAAAAGAGCCGGGTGTGGGGGCGCACACCTGTAATCCCAGCACTTGGGAGGCTGAGGCAGGAGGATCACTGTGAGTTCAAGACCAGCCTGGGCTACATAGTGATTTCCAGGACAGTCTCAACTACATAGTGAGACCCTGTCTCAAAAACAAAACAAAGCAAAACAAAAAAACGAGCACAAAAGATGTGTGAAACAGTGCTCAACCTTTATGACATAAAGCATGGTACGAAAGATCTATTTTATTATAGTTTTAAAAAAGTACTGGTTGAGACTCATACTGATTTCACAAACTACAGATTAATCTTCAGGTTGAAAGATGGTGTAAAAGTATAGACAATATTGATCTTATTAGATATTTCCAGTTTGCTCTCCAAAGTGATATCTAATTGACATTCTTAGTAGTCAAGTATAATTCCTAATGCTCCATAATCTCCACTATTTTGAGCATTATCAAGTAGGTCTATAAATTTTTGCCATGGCCGGCCTCGGTGGCACACAACTATGATCCCAGCACTTGGGAAGCTGAAGCAGAAGAATCTCTCCAAGTTTGAGGAGGCAAGCCTTGGCTAGTGAGTTCAAAGCCAGCCTGAATTACATAGTAAACCCTGTCTCAAAAAAAAAGGGGGAGGGATTTTTGGGGAGCCCTATTTAATGTGTATGAACTATCTCATTACGAATTTAAGGATTATTTGTTAAACTTCCATTGGAAAATAATGCTTTTGTTGATTATAAATGTCACTAATACCTTCTTACTATGTGTGGCTTGTTCTCACTGTTTCTGGTATCTTGTTATAAAAAAGTATTTAATTCCAATATAGTCAAATTGCTTAGTTTTCCATTATGAATTGGACTTAAGAAGGCCATCTCCAACTCTAAGATACTCTCTGTATTTTTCACTAAAAGTTTGGATTCTTAACCTACTTGGAATTAATTTTGAGACGTGAGACTGAAGTTGGGTGTGGCGGCTCATGCCTGCAAAGCCTGAACTTGGATTGTGGAGTTTGAGGCCAGCCTGGGCTCCTCAAAGCCAGCTTGATCTGCATAGCAAGACCTTGTTTCAAAACTCTCCCCCTAAACAAAGTGAGATAAAGATCCAATTTTCTTTTCGTTTTTTTGAGACAAGGTCATCTTGAACTCACTATGTTGCCCAGGCTTGCCTCAAATCTGAGGCCTCTGCCTCCCAGTGCCTCCCAACTACAAGCACGCTTGGCCCAGTTTTATCTCTTTGTACAAGTAAAATCCTTTTAAATAGTCTGTCCCTTTCCTATTGATCTAAACAATACTACCCCTCTTTTGCAGTTAAAAAAACTAGCTTTATTAGATATAATTATATAATTATTATAAATTAGAAAGCTATAAATAAGTTTTAGCAGATTTATGTATTCATAGAATTTCTTCCACAATTACATTGAGATGTAGAACATTTCCATCACCTTGTGCCCTTTTGTAGTTAATCCTCCTCTAACACCCTTAGTTCCAGCAACCGTCGATCTGTATTCTATTAGTATTGTTTTGCTTTTTCTAGAATTTCATATAAAAAAATCATACTTGTGGAGCTATAGAAATGCTTTATTTAATGACTATGATGGCAGTTCCACGATTGTACATATTTGCCAAACTCACCAAATTTTATAATTAAAATTAGTGAATTTATAGTATGTATATACCTACACAAAGGTGAAGAAAATAAATCCACTGGTTTATTGTACCAGAAATCAAACTCAGGACCATGCACTTGTCAGGCATGTGTGGCACCACTGAGCTAAATCCCTGCCCCTCCATTGGTTTATACTAATACTTTATCTTTTAGTTAAAAAAATTTTTTTTGAGACAGGGTCTCGTGTAGTCCAGGCTGGTTTTGAACTCTTATAGTCCAAGCTGGCCTCAAACTCACAGCAATCCTCCAGCCCCAGTTTTCCAAATGCTGAGATTACAGGCATGTGCCACCACCACCACGCCTTATATTATACTTCAAATATACTTTTATCCATGAATGATTCTGTAACATCATGTATTAGTCATCTGGAAAATAGTGATTAATCCAGGTACACGGATTTTCCAAATACTGATACCTTTCATTATACAGTAAAAAAAAAAAAAAAAATCACACTCAATGTCTACACTGGTCTCAACAGAAAAGTCTTTAGTATTAGGAATGTGATGCACTCATGATTTTCCATAACTTGAAAGCCTGAATTTTGCCACTAGCAATAAGTAAGTTATTGTTCTTACAGTGACTGAATATTGCTGTTAGTTTGAGTAACTAGATTTTGTCAGTGGCTCTTTCACATAAAAATGACAATCTACGAAGAAGCAGCTGGAGCTGGGTGTGCTGTACATACCTGGTAACACAGCATTCTGGGAAGCTGAAGCAGGAGGATTACAAGTTTGGGCTCAGCCTGGGCAACTCATTGTGACCCTACCCATAAATGATGGAATGAGTAAATGAATAAAAAATAAAAATATGCCAGATGTGGTGACACACACCTGTAATCCCATTAATCAGGAGGCTGAGGAACAGGAGGCACCATAAGTTTGTGGCTAGCCTGGGTGTAGCAAGAGCCTATCTCAGAAAACCAAAAACATGGCCGGGATGTAGCTCAGTGGTTCCACTGCCTGTTTTGCAAGTGCAAGGTCCTGAGTTCGATCTCTGGTACCAAAATAAAAAAAAAAGAAAGAAAAGAAAATCAAAAGGGCGGGGATGTTTTCTTTTTTCGGTACCAGGTATGGAAATTGGGTCCTTGCACTTGTGAGGCAGGCGGCAGAACCACTGAGTTAAATCCCTGGCCCGAAAACGGTGGGGATGTACTGGGGATGTGTTCAATCCCCAATACCACACCCACACCCACACACACACACACACACACGAAAGCAACTGGCTCAAACACACACATAAATGATTTTCATTGAGACAACCTGTGTCTTTTGGTATGCAGCAAGTGTTTTATGTATATTCTTTGTGTATACTTATTTCATTACATAGAATACTGATGTGTACTTCAAGATCAAGATTTAATATAGTTTTTTTTTAGGGGGGTACCGGGGATCAAACTCAGGTCATTGCACTTGCAAGGCATGCGGTAGAACCACTGAGCTAAATCCCCGGCCCCCAGATCAAGATTTAAGAAAGTAGGGTCTGGAGTTGTGGCTCAATAGGACTGCGCCTGCCTGGCAAGCACAAGGTCCCGAGTTCAATTCCCGGTATCAGGGGGAAAAAATGATTTAATAAAGTCAAAAATTTTCCCAGTATCAGGGATTGAACTTAGGACCTGTGCTTGCCAGGCAGGTGAGGCGCCACTGGGCTACATTCCCAGCCCCAATAAAGTCAAAATGTATTGCTTCACGATATTTTTTTTAGTTAAGGTATGCAGTCCAGGCAGGCCTTGAATTCAATATCTAGCCTAGGCTGGGCCTCCCAGTGATCCTCCTGGTTCAGACTCCTTGGGTATCAGGATTACAAACAAGACTGGAATTACAGTGTATGCTATTAATGCCCAGCAATCAAGGATATTAAGTGACTCTGGTTTAAAGACAAAACAACTGCCAGTGGGAAGCAGTGATAAATACAATGACTACTACCTAGGTATAAGGCCATTGCTTTGATTCATACTAAGAAATCAGCAGTTTTGTAAATAGTGCAAACACAAGGATAAATCAACAGTGATAAAGGCTATGCCTTAGTATTATTATGAAAAGTTCTGTGAAGTCCCTGGAAAGGTCTCTGGGATTCATAATGGTCCACAGAGACTTTGAGCACATCTACTCTAAATTCAAGGATGATTTTTGGAGTAAACTCAAAATCTTTTTGTTGTTGTTTTGGAACTGGGGATCAAACTCAGGATCTTGCGCTTGCAAGGCAGGTGTTGACACCATTTTGCTAAATCCTCAGCCCTGTTGTTGTTTTCTTGAGGTAAGGTCTTGCTATGTATGTAGTTCAAGCTGGCCTTGAATTCCCTATATTGTCCAGACTAGCCTCAAACTTATAGTGATCCTCCTGCCTCAGCCTCATAAGTGTTAGGATTACAGCTGTGTGCGACCATACCTGGCTTCATAAACTGAAAATTTTAAATATGAGGGGCCAGGTATGTAGCTCAGTGGTGTTGCTACTTGCCTCACAAGCACAAGGTCTCAAGTTCAATCCCCAGTACCAAAAAAAAAAAATCTTAAATATGGATTTTTAAAACTTGAAATTCTGAAAGAGATAACAAACTAATAACTTCTAGTTGAAAAATGTAGAGGTACTTAAAAAGAAGCCCATAAGACCAATATGGTTAAGCAACTTATTTCAAAGAGCTTCAGATTAAAATTTCCTAATCTTTAAATATTTACTTTTTAAATCACAGTTTTATTGCTGGGCGTGGTGGCTCTGCCTGTGATCCCAGCTCTTGGGAAGCTGAGGTAGGAGGATCGCTGTGTGTTCGAGACCAGCCTGGGCTACACAGTGAGTTCCTGGGCTACAACTATATAGTTAAGACCCTGTCTCAACCACCCCCATCATAGTTTTAATTTTTATTAAAATAATTAGCCAAGAAACCTTTGGACAGCAAAGATATGAAGGAAGGACAAAAGAATCTTCAGTATACCAACTAGAATAAACCTAGATTAGCTCTCCCCTACCTTAGAGCCACTCGATACTTCTGTCCCAATTTCTCAATTTCAGCCATTACACAATCAGTTATACAAGGGATACCTGCCAGGAAAAAAAACACAAAAAATTTAGTAACAAAATTGTGAAGATGTTCTCTGAATTATATCCTGTTTGGTCTTTTTTTGTTTGTTTGTTTTTTGAGACAGGGTCTCACTATGTAGTATGTAGTTGAGACTGACCTAGAACTCACTATGTAGCCCAGGCTGGTCTCGAACTCACAGCGATCCTCCTGCCTCAGCCTCCTGAGTGCTGGGATTACAGGTGTGCGCCACCACGCCCGGCTATCATGTTTTGGTCTTTAAAAGACTCAGGAGATATCTGAATGACTGTCAAATAAGCACACTGAAATGAACAGTAAGAACGAGAGAAGTCCCTGTTTATACAAGTGATGATTGAAATATATGAGTGTTTAAATAACTTATTTTTAATTAATTATTAGTACATTTAATGTATACAATATAATGACATTCATTGTTGGAAATTTGTACCTTTACATAATCAATCTTGGTTCTTTTTTTTTTTTTTTTTTTTTTTTTTTTTTTTTTTTTTGGTACCGGGGATTGAACTCGGGTCCTTGTGCTTGCAAGGCAGGCCACCGAATCTCTGAGCTAAATCCCCGGCATTGGTTCTTATTTAAATAACTCATTACAGTAAAAGACACATTGCTATCAATCGCCCTCAAAACACTCCTCTTTGAAGACATGCACGCCACTGTTTCTGCCTTCCCCCCTCTTCTGAGACAGGTTCTTACTATATATTCCAGGTGGCCTTAAATTTACTATGTAGGCCAGGGTGGCCTCAAACTCACAGTGATCCTCCTGCTTTACCTTCCCAAGGGCTGGGATTATAGGAATGCACCATCATGCCCAGCTCTTCCTGCCTCTTTTTGAGCCAATTCTCGAAGTCCTCTTTTGTGAATGTCTTTATGAGCTGTGATAAAAAATGTGGTGAATGTTGCTGTGGAATGCTATCCAAAGGAAAGGCAGGTTCATTAAAACATTAAGGTGAATCCTCAAATATCTTACTCTGTGGATCTGGCACCATGTGACTCTTAGAAAAGCAGCTCAGACAACTGTAAATGTTGCCATGGGGAATAAAAAGAACCTACCAAGTTTAGTATCTTCCTCCATATGGGGCCACCAAAGACTCATTGTTATAGGCATGATAATGCCTGAACTTTAGATTATTCTTATGTCTAAAATATTTTTAAAGTATTATAGGTACATAGCTTAGCCAGGTACCGGTGGCTCATGCCTATAATCTCAGCACTCAGGGGCTGAAGCAGGAAGACTGAGTTTGAGGTCAGTCTGGGCTACATACCAGGTTCAAGACCAGCCTGAACTACATAGCAAGACCCTGTCTTAAACACAAAACAAAACCAAAGTATTATATGCATATAGCTTCAAAAGGAAAAACAGAAAGCAGAAAGACCTATATGAAAAACTAACTGTCATCTGACCATTTTCCACTCTACTTCTGAGTCTTATTAATAACTATTTTACCCCAAGAGCTCCATTTTTTTTTCTGGTGGTTACCTTCATTTTTTAATGTAATAAATGCATACAGCCCCTCTTAATTTTAGGCATTTAAAGAATTTTGATTTTTTTTGGGGGGGTACTGGGGATTGAACTCAGGACCTTGTGCTTGCAAGGCAGGCATGGTGTCACTGAGCTAAATCCCAGCCCAGAATTTTGATTTTTTACATCCTCTGTATATTCTTTATGCTCATCTTCTTATCTTGCTCATTTAAACAAATCAATAAAAAACATTTACATTAACACTGTGTAAATGCTATTCACCATATACAGACATACTTTGGAGACATTGTGAGTTTAAGTCTATACTATTATAATAAAGTGAATTATTTTATAAAGTGAATCATACAAGGTTTTTGGCTTCCCTGTACATATAAGTTATGCTTACACTACTATGCTCTAGTCAGTCTACTGTGTGCATTAGCATTATATCTAAAAGAATGACGTAACTACTGTAATTAAAAAATACTTTATTGAGTTGGGTGCAGTGGTGCACACATGCAGTCCCAGCTGCTCAAAAAGCAAAACTGGAAGATCACTTGAGCGCTGTAATCCAGGCAAGCCTAAGCAAAACAGCAACTTTATTTCTGGGGATGTAACTCAGTGGTTAAGTGGGTGTATGAGGTCCTGAATACAATCTCTAACACCACAGAGGAAAACAAAATAACAACAACAAAGCTTTTTGGGTTAGGGATGCTGCTTAGTGACAGACTGCATACTTAGCATATTCAAGGTTCTGAGTTTAGTTGCTAGCCATAAAAACAAACAAAAAACAATGTTCACAGCACCATCACCAGGAGAAGACTCCATCTCAAGAAACTTTCTTTGTTCATCCATAAGAAGTTACTCCTAATTTATTAAAAGTTTTATTGTGAGAGTACAGTAATCCTGCCACATCCTCACATGCCACCTTTTATTCTAGGTCTTGTGCTATTTTTTCCACATCTGCAGTTATTTCCTCTTATATGTTTTTAAAAATTTTTAATTGACATAGCTGGGCATGGTGACACATGCCTGTAATCCCAGCACTTGGGAGTCTGAGGCAGGAAGATCGAGGCTAGCTTGAGCTACAGTGAGTTCAAGGACAGCCTGAACTACATAATGAAACCTTGTCTCAAAAAAAAAAAAAAAAAAAAAAAAAAAACACCGACAAAATTTTTTTAATTTGACATATAGAAAATGAACATTTTTACAGGGTACTATGTGATGTTTTGATATATTTATATACTCTATTATGTTCAAATCAAAGTAAAAATATTTCCTTAATTTTTTTTGCAGTGAAAACATTCAAAATCCTTTTTTCTAGCTTTTTTGAAACATTTAGTACATTATGGTTCTCTACAGTTACCCTTCTTTATTAAGTCTTGAATTCCTCAAAATTATCCATGAGGACTGGAATTAATTTCTTCCACACTCCTAGTAATGTTGATATTTTGAACTGTTCTCACACATTATAAATACTCTCAATGGCATCTAGAACAGATAATCCTTTTCAGAAGATTTTCAATTTACTTTTCCCACACCCATCAGAGGAATCTTTATCGATGGCAGCTATGGCCTTATAAAATGCATTTCCTAAATAGTCTGACTTGAAAGTCAAAATTACACCTGGATCCATGGGCTGCAGAATGGATGTTGTGCCAACAGGCATGAGAACATTCAACCTACTGTACAACTCTGTCAAGCTCTTGGGTGACAAGGTGCATCATTAATAAGCAGTTATATTTTGAAAGTATTCCTTCTCCTGAGCAGTTAGGGAGGCTTCAAATACTCAGCAAACCTCACTAAATGGTGGCACATGTCTGTAATCACAGGTACTCCAGAAGTTGATGCAGAAGGGTCTTAAATTTGAGGCCAACCTGCACAACTTAGGCTCTTATCTGAAAACATAAAATAAGAGTTTGGGATGTAGCTTAGTGGTAAAGCATTTGTCTAACATGAGTAAGGTTCAGGTTCAATCTCTAATTCCTCAAAAAAAAAAAAAATCAGCAAACAACATTGTAAACAAATGTATTTTCATCCAGGCTTTGTTGTTCCATTTATAGAGCACAGGCAGAGTAAATTTACTATAATTCTTTAGAGCCCTAAGATATTTGGAATGGTAAATGGGCACTGGAGTTAACTTTAAGCCACGAGCTGCATTAGTCCCTAAGAAGAGAGTCAACCTGTCCTTCAAAGCTTTTTAACTTGGGGGCTGGGGATTAGCTCAGTGGTGCTGCCGCCTGCCTCACAAGCACAAAGCCCAGATTTTGATCCCTAGTACCAAAAAAATAAAAAAAAGCTTTTAAGCTTGGCACTGACTGCTCTTCTCTATCTATGTAAATCTCAAATGGTATCTTCTTCCAATATAAGGCTGTTTTGTCAACGTTGAAAATTTGTTACTTAGTATAGTCACTTTCATTAATTATCTTAGCTAGTTCTTTAGGATAACTTGCTGTAGCTTCTACATGAGTACTTGCTTGCACTTGTGTTATTTTGTTTTCTGAGAAAGGGTCTCACTATGTACCTAAGGCTGGCCTCAAACTCCTGGCGATCCTCCTGCCTCGGCCTCCCAAGTGCTGGGATTACAGGAGTGCACTACCACACCCAGCCTTTTGTATTGTTTAGATGGCTTCTTTAAATCTCATGAACCAACCTCCGCTACCTTCACATTTTTCTTCTGTTGCTTCCTCACCTCTCACAATCTTCACAGAATTGAAGAGTTATCACCTTGTTTTAGATTAGGCTTTGGCTCAAGGGAATGTGAGTGTTATAACTGGTTTGATATTCCATACAGACCACTAAAACTCTCTCCCTACCAGCAGTATGGCAATTTCAGTTTTACTGGCTTAGCACCTTTAGTTTCCTTCAACATTGCCTTTGTATTTACAACTGGGCTATTTGGAGCAAGAGGATTAGCATTCAGCCTACTTCAGCTTTTGACACTCCTGTCTCACTAAATTTATTCACTTCAAGTCTTGATTTAAATGGAGAAATGTGTGATTGTTCCTTTTGCTTGAATACCATTTACTTGAATACCTACAGGCCACTGTAGTTACTAATTAATCTAATTTCAATAGTATTATTTCAGGGAATAAAGAGGCCTGAGGACAGGGTAAGAGATGAAGGAATGGCTGGTCAGGAGCAGTTGGAACACACAGAATATTTACTAAATCTGCTATCTTAAATGGAGACAGTTCATGGTGCCCCAAAACAATGGTAACAGTAACATCAAAGACTACAAACTACCATCACAGATATAATTAAAAGTGTGAGATATTATGGGAATTACCAAAATGTGACAGAGACATAAACTGCACATATATTGTTGGGAAAATGGTGCTCAGAGACTTATTCTATGTAGGGTTCCCACAAACTTTCAATCTTTTTTTTTTTTTGGGGGGGGGACAGGGTCTGACTATGTAGTTCATGCTGACCTGAACTCACTGTGTAGCTCAAGGTGACCTAGAAGTTGTGGCGATCCTCCTGCCTCAGCCTCTAAAGTGCTGGGATTGTAGGCATATACCACCACACCTGGCCAAACTTTCATTTTTTTTTTTTTTTTTGGTACCAGGGATCAAACTAGGGTCTTTGTGCTTGCGAGGCAAGTGGCGGAACCACTGAGCTAAATCCCTGGCCCCCAAACTTTCAATTTGTATAAAACGCAGTATCTGTGAAGTGCAATAAAATGAAGCACAATAAAACAAGATATGCTGATAGTATCCTTTAAAGATTAAAGCAGGAAGAGAAATTTTCCCAGTTGATTCCAGTAATTTATTCTTTATGGCAAAATATAGATCTACTTTCATTTGTACCTTTAATCAGATGACAGGAAAATATATGAATAAAAACTTACGAGGAAATACAACACATCTTATTAGGAATTTATTCCTACATACAAGGCCCACTTTTTTTTTGCCTATTCATGGTGGTGTAGATCTTTTAAAGGAGATAACCAAATACACAATGGAACTCTATTAATAGGCAAGTTGAATCTAAGTATCAAAACACTCAAATTTTTTGTAGTACAATAATAACAAATGAATAAACTTAGAAATAGATCATAATCCAATTTCTGGTTCTGTGATCATAAATAGCAAAGTCTCTTAGCATTTCTACAATGAAGTGGAATGGAGAGCGTATCTTTATTAATATAAAAGAAGACATATAAACAAAAATATATTTTCAAGGAGCCAGGGATTTAGCTCAGTGGTTCGGTGGCCTGCCTTGCAAGCACAAGGACCCGAGTTCCATCCCCGGTACCAAA